TTCTCTTCACATTTCTGTCCTCTCTAAAAGCTCACAAGGTTTTTTTTTTTTTTTACATTGGAAATTATTTTAAATGTCATAATTAAACCTCATTGTATGTATATTTTAATACAAGCTAATATTTTATGTTTGTTTATTGAGAGAGAGCATATGTGCGTGCACGCACATGAGAGGGTCTCCTTTCTGGTCAAGGAGCTTCTCTAATTGATGGTTGATATTTCGCAGGTGGTTCTCAGCTCCCAAAAGGATTCTTGCTTTGAATAACAGATCTGGAAGGCTGGATGAATCATATGTTTCCTTTACATGGGGTTCTCTCTCTTGAATATCCGAATAATCTTGATGAAGCTGTTTTTGTTTAGATAAGAAACCTGTGGCATCCCTAAGGGAAGATTTTTCTCTCTGTAAATTCATCATACTTTATTTGAGTATGATGAACAGTTGTTTCATCTGTGGTTCTAACCAAAGCAATTCATCCTGGAGTTCAAGCAGACATTGCCTTTTCTTTTCAATATCTGAAATAATCTTCGTGTTCTTCCTTTTCAGAGTTTTTGACATCTGGACTTCTTTAAGCATTTTGATGAGCTTTTCTTTCATATGAGAATCAAACTTTTTGATGGCTTCTTTACAAATTTTAGATTCTACTTTTTTGTTTATAGTCTAGGATGGTTTTCTCAAATGCATACAAAATGACATCTAGTTCATTAGATGTCATTGGCTTTCTTTCCTTTCAGACACCAAATATGTACACAGTCAGAAATATCTGAGTCTATGGCTTGGGGTCAGAGTCTATGGGGATGGCAAGAGGGAGAGAGAGAGAATCTTAAGCAGGCTCTATGCCCAGTGCAGAGCCAAAATGGGACTGGATCTCATGACCCTGAGATCATGACCTGAGATGAAACCAAAAGTCAGATGCTACTGAGCCACAAAAGCCACCCAATGTAAGTTAATACTTTAAATGTAATTCAATATCTTTAATATAAGCTATATATAAAAGCATCTAGTGTACATAGCACCTGGCATAAAGCAATCGTCCAATACATGTTTGAATTTTAAATGGTTACTAAGATCACATAGTAAAATATCAGTTTTCCTAAACTATGTTGCTCTAAATTATATCGTATGAAGTTATAAAAGGATGACTAACCGAAAAAGAACTGGATCTACAAATACTAGAGCTTTTCTGCAATGAGTTATTGTATGTGTTCTTCTATTTTGTCTGACTTCTTTGCCCACCTAGCTGTGCAATTTACACAGCACTCCACTTCTTTCTGTACATTTTGATCATTTAGTTTACAATGTTAGATGAAAGGATTAAGTTATAACAGGTAAATTATATACCTTCGTGGTAAATTGATTGTTATTATATGGATTTCTGCTCAATGATATCATACAGAATGTTTGGTCTTTAGGTGTTTCTCACTTTATTTTTAAATTTTTGAGAGAGAATGAGTGGGGGGGGGTGGGGAAGGGACAGAGAGAGGATCTTAAGCAACCTCTTTGCTCAGCATAGAGCTGGACACAGTACTTAATCTTACCACCCTGAGATCATGACCTGAGACAAAATCAAGAGCTGGACACTTAACTGATGGAGCCATCCAAGCTCCCCTTTAAGTGCTTTTCTTTAGACTGTTAAGTAAATATGGATATAGGAAAAAACTTAAGATATGCCTCCCTTCAGAGAGAACCCTTTTGAAAGAAATAAACAAAATACTGTGCTTATACCTTTCCTGTGTGCATGAAAGAGACTTGTCAACCAGTGGAGTTCTTTGGAGAATGATCAGGCAAGAACAAGGCTCTTCTGTTGCAGCATCACTCAATGTTAGCCTCTGATTATCTTTTCTGTGAGCTTGTTCAATCCCCCAGAGAGGATCCCCATGGTCTCTGGCCTGGAAAGTGATAGAAGGAGTAGAAAGCAGGCTGCCTGGCTGCCAGGACAAAGTATTCCAATTGTGTGTGTGTGTGTGTGTGTGTGTGTGTGTAGGTGTGGGAGTGTTTGCAACTTATAGAATAAAGTACTCTCCCTTGACCTCTAGTGTGCCTGTGGTCATGCTACCCAGAGACTCTCTGGTTTAACTAGTGAAAAGCAAGCCTGTCTGATGGGGTGAGAGAAACAGTATTCACGGACTGCTCAGGGTTTAGATGAGGATTTAGATGAGGTTTAGATGAGGATTAAGTGTCAGCGCGTCACCTCCACCCCTGCATTTGAAGCTAGCCTGATGCCTTTAGCGCTGCACCTGGCTGGCACATTGCAGTGAAGCTTAGCTTGGTGAGAAAGAGAAAATAAATTCATGTCAAAAGTCTCTACCTCCTTCCTAACGCTTACTTTCAAAAATACACTGAGCCCATTGTTTTCCCCTTGACCAGGATAAACACAGAGAAGGAAGGAGGATGTATTGTCACTGCAAACAGACTAGTTTTATGGCAAGGGAGGGACATTTTCACCTCTGAGAAAGATTTTCCTTCCTGGGGAATATTTTCTACAGAGACAAATGACTTTTTTGGAGGTCACTGTAACAAGTTAGATGCGGGGGATACAATTAGCAAGGTGGTGCCTTTGCCTTCAAAAATCTTATTCTAAGCAGTTAGAGAAAGACACGCAAAAAAAAAAATCACTCCATCATTTGGCATCGTGCCTAGAACAGAGCAAGCATGCAAACAATGTTTATCCAGTGGATAGCTGCTATTTTGGTCTGTAAATATAGTATGGGGGGTCATGGTAAAGGAAGTAATTAATTTTGTCTTGGGGGTGGTCTGGGAAAATTCAGTTTTTAAACTTAATCACATTTGGGTTCACATATACTTAATTCATATTGTCCTTAATTTCTTTTTTAATAGTTATTTTCATTTCTGACTTGAAACATTGCCTTGCTGAGGCTGCCCTGTTTCTGCTTCCACAGCATGCAGCACAGTGCAGAGCGCCGCAGATTGCTGATCATCAGAAAAGGCTTGCTAACGCTGCTGTTCCCTGACATTGCTGCTGCTTTGGTGCAGCTGTCTCCTCTCCTACCAGATTCACCTGATGTTCCTTTGCAGAAGTGCATGGCTCAGGAACAAATAAGTCACAGCCACATACAGGAGTGAGGTTGAAGTTCACCGGAGAAGGCCAAGTGGGATGTCCCCCATGTGTCCATGCAGTCCATTTCCCTGTGCGTTGCAGGCACATGTGGATAATGAGACAGGCCGTGTGGAGTTCAGGTTAAGGTCATGGGTGGTCAAGGTGGAAAACCCTCCACTCAACTGCCGGGTCTTATAAACTGCTTTTGTGATCTTAGGGAAGTGACTTAACCTCTCTGATTTATTCGTTTGTATGAGGATAGCAGTACTTGCCTTGGAGAGTTATTTGAGAATTAAAGAAGGTGCATCTAAAATACACAGCACAGTTCTAGATTCATAGTAAAAAAAAAAAGTCAGCCAAAAGTAAAATTATACAGTTATATCTAGCAGACTTTTTATTACTCCCTCTAATGCACATACTCTAAAAACTCATATTCTATTCTATGGTGCTTCCCAAGATGGCATGTGCAGTATTTGTCCCTGAATTTAAGTGTCTTTCCCATTCTGTAACTGTTTTTGTTGGCCTCAGAAGGACTGAGAACGAACTACTTTGTTACAATATCCATAAAAATTTTTGAATATTAAGTCCTTAAATCATCGCTTCCTGAACTTTGCTACACATTGGAATCAACAATGTTTTAAAAACTCCATGCATCTGACTGCCACCTTTAGACATTCGACTAAATTCCTGGGTATGGAGATTTTTTAAAAGCTCCCCAAGTGATGCTAATGGGCAGTAAAATTAGGGACCGCTTTTTTAATTACATAAAATTAAATTTTCTCTCTTGAGAAAGAGATACATGAAAAGACCTAGTGGTCATGGGTTCTATAAGAATAAAAATAGGCTAACAATAATTCAGTTGATTCCAGTTCTTTTCTTTTTCAGTGGAAACTGTTAAGTATAAAATTTGTTTCAAGATTATGCAAATATTTCTTCCTGTCTGTGCTCCTTATCTTCCAAAATGTATGAAAACTCATCACTGGCAGCACACAGAAGTTATTTTGAGATGAACAAAATTTTTCATCAAGACTCATGACCTCAAGAGTGATTTTATTTTATTTTATTTTATTTTATTTTATTTTATTTTATTATTTTAGAGAGCACGTGCATGCGGTAGGGGGCTACCAGGGGAGGGAAGAGAGGAAATCCCAAGCAGGCTCCACATTCAGCAAAAAGCCCGATGTGTGGCTTGATCTCACGACCCTGAGATTATAACCTGAGCCGAAATCAAGAATCGGACCCTTAACCTACTAAGCCACCCAGATGCCCCTCAAGGGTGATTTTTAAAACAATCTCAAGAAATGGTAAAGTGAGTTTTTCTCTACAACTTTAAATAGAGCTTAAAGACATATAATCTTGTTAGCTTGCTTATCCATTAAGACATCAGGAAAAACATTACCTATCATTCCTTTAGTTGTAACTTTTTTCATTTTTCTTTTTTTAAAAATAAAAGCAGTCTTCCATATACAATATGAGTTCTTGTTCATTAGGCAATTACTGTATTCCAGGGTATCTAAAAGTATTACGTCCAAATGGCCACAGTCCTATCGGGTAGAAATTGTGATTTCCATTTACAAATCAGGAACATTTTAGTAGGTTGCCTAAGGACTACACAACTAGGAAGTGGCTCAGCCAAAACACTGGATGCAGGGCTTTGTGTTTACAGAGTCTTTGCTTTTTCTGCAAAAGCAACACAAGAACAATAGAACACAGAAGCAGAGTCCTTTCTCTATTTCTGCAATTGAATAGGTTCAATCTATTTAAGGTAACAGCATCATTCTGTGGGAAGCAAGCATGGGAAAGTTCAGGAGAATTTCCTTGAAGACTCTCAGATTAGAGATGAAGCTGCATTGGACATCCTGGATTCTGCCAAATCTGAACCCAATTCTGGTCTCATGAATAATTCACAGTAAATAAGTTTATGAAATTTCTTTTGTTCTTGTAGTTGTTTCAGTGAGAGAAGTGTTGAAGATGTTCAGTTTCATCCTTGTCACCACCATTCTGGTAATGGGCAGGGAAAGCTGGGTAAGATCATTTATTTATATATTTATAATACCTGCTTTGACCTGAGTTTTCTTTTATTTTGCAGAAAACCTTTAGTAATTTGGTGCTGAAAAAATTAACTAAGGGAAAAAAAATGAAAAAGGTTTCTGGAAGCACCTGGCACATGATGGGCACTTAAAATGTGACATAAATTTTTTTTTTCTGAAAGTAAAAACCAGTATTCACAATAAACGAGTAAAAGCTTTTTTAATTTACTGAGGCTATTTGGATAGTTAAATAATCTTAGAAATTTAAAACTATCCCTAGTGATTAAAATTGACCCAGGGCTTTCCCAATATTGAGCTTTCCAGTATTAAACCCTATTAGTGTAAATTAAACAAATTATTTGAAAGTAATTACAATGAACTCATGTCTTCCTCCATAAATAAAAGGGAGAAAATACTCATTTACTCAAAGTTCTAGGGGAGAGAAAACTTCTAAATTTTAAATAAGCTCACTAAAACCATACATGCAGTCTCATAAAGATTGAAGACCCTTGCCCTGTACTTTTCAGTAATTTTTAAATTACACAGTGCAATTTATATTTAACTATATTTAACAATATCACAACCAATGTCCATTTGTTGGAAAGCAGCACAGGATTCCAGACACCATGAAATGTCCCTGCTATTCATTTTTGAGACTAGTAGGAATCAGGGAGCTAAGCAAATAATTCAGAGTGGATAAATCAAGGAGTATTGAGGAGAGAGCACCAAGTGCAAATAAGAAATGGTCCTTGAGCAATAGCCAGGGGAGATTCAGCAACGTGGACTTAGAAATGGGAGAAGACCCGTACCACCATTTCCCTATTCTCTTGCTATGTGACTTCCAGTTTTGAGGCTGAATTTCTGTGTTTACAGTACAGGCCTTCATAAGAAGGGAGTGTACCTCTTTGATCCAAATAGGGTGTCTAGCTGTGCTGTTCCGGGTCACCTAGCAGCAGGCCTGGAGTATAGTAGCTCCTCCTATTTATGGAATGAATATAAGGAAGTACACAAAGATATGTACCAAAAGGCAATTGTAAATGGTGAAATCTATCTGGTGGCTGTTTAAGGAAAGAATGTGTATAAAGGTAGTAGTGTAAAGCAATCACACATGAAAACACAGAATTTCTCAGAAGTGAACATTGACACTTATCACAGGAGATCATGACGTAAGTTGAAAATAGAGATGTCAAGGTAAAAGAGGCAAAAATTTGTCTTTTGTCCCTTTTTCCCCCACCAAACCTCCAGGAACTCTTCCAGCACCGAGTACTCAAGAGCCTTTATTGAAGCTTCTAGTCCTAGTACCTCCACCAGTTTACCTCCCCTGTGGCTCACCTTCCCAGTGAACCCCGCCCCCCCATGTTTGCTTTCTCTTTGGAAAGTTCTCAGCCAGAGGCTGAGAAAACTCTTAGAAAGGAGCTGATAAACTCTTTCACATTCAAAATTCTTGGGATGTTTGCCCTTTTAGAGAAGATAAATGACTTCATTGGAACACTCAGGCTCCTCCCATCCCTTTCTGAAGTAATTGAAGGGAAAAAAAATACACAAAAAGTTAAAGTGACTTCATAGAATTTCCACAGGTAAGCGGGTGAGATACTCAAAGACATGAGGGTCTAAACTAGCATCCCTTATAAAGGCAACCACATGTCATCAGATTATAAGTACTTAATCAAATTTTTAAAACAGTAATGCCAAAAGGTCATTCAAAAGCTTGTGTATTTTAGGGATGGATACACCAACAATGTACAATGGTGCCATAAAAACTTTACTGTCAGGAAAGCATTTAGGTGGCATCATGTAGTAACAGAGTAGGGATTTTGAACTGGATTTGAATCCTGACTCTTTCTACCTGCTAGGAATTCCTGAGCAAGTTTCATCACCAGGGTTGAGCCAATTCCTTCCTCCTGGAATCATGAGGATGGAATGAGACGAGTCTAAAGCTGCTAGCATAGTCATTCAGATTACTTTATATTCATATATGATTTTTTAGTAAGCACTTTGCCATAGTTATAACTACTTATTCTTCAAACAACAAATGGCATCAGAACTTTCAAACTGCATTCTGGTTAGAATAATATCCTGAAATTGGAGTTGGGGACAAAATTGAATCATTAATTTGTCCAACTGGTTAGGAGCATTTATTTCCCAATGAGAATGAGATGCACATCACTTTGCAGGCTCTTGAGAACTGTCTCCAGGAGCAGGCGCGGCTCAGAGCCCAAGTGCACCTGCTCGAGACCCGGGTCAAACAGCAACAGGTCAAGATCACGCGGCTTCTGCATGAGAAGGAAATCCAATTCCTCGATAAAGGAGAGGAGAATAATGTCATTGACCTTGGAGGCAAGAGGCAGTATGCAGGTCAGAACCTATTTTTCCCAATTGCTTCAGGAACTTAAAATATACACCCATGTGCAAAGGTGATGCTCATTGTTTGGTACTTCAGGTTTTGCTAAAGAGCTTTTCCTATTCCAGTAACGAGCAACATGAAGCATTATACCAAATTTAAATACCTTCTACCACATTTAATCCTTTTCTCTCTATAACCTCTGCAGGCGATATATAATACCAAAGCTAAATATCTCAGAATTTATATATTTTAATGAGAGATTAAAAACAATAGATTATTTACATACCAGTGGGCAAATAGTCAATTATATTTGTGAAGTTCTACAATTGAGTTTTGTTTTTAATCATGCATGATTTCTTGTTACGTTTATACAGTTTTCCCTTCTGAAACTGTTATGTGCTTTAGGGTAGTAAGTAAGGTAATAGAATAAAAAGGCAGGGAAAGAAAAAGGGTACAATTATTTAGGGAAATACAAGGGCTGTTTTTCCCTGTATATTTTATGGTTTGGTAATTTCCTTGTTGATTGGGTCAGTGTTTCCACCCGGAAACGTAATGACCTTAGATTGTCAACACATTGCACATATCATTGTTCCAATAGAAAATTACTCACATGTCTTCCTCCAGGCATCTTTTAAAGTAACCAAACCATAATTGTCAGAAACAAGAATGTCATCTAGAGCACTTTGTTTCTATGTTCGCTCTAGCTACTGCAATGATATGTTATCATTTCTTTGTCTATGTGTCTGTCCTGATCAATCAACCAGGCACTTTGAAAGGTCTAGGATGGTGTTTCATCATTCTTTCTTCCCTCTTGCCTATTAGAGTACCTGGAATATAATAGAGCCTCGCACTTATGAATGAAAGCAAGGTAGTACATAGAGATAGGAAGAGCTAGATAAGCAAATATAAGTTGGAAAATAGATCTGACTATAAATGGAAAACTGTAGAGGCTAAAGAGATTCTAGGCTGATAGAATAAAGACATCTTTATTTTGTGTTTCTCAATATATTCATCAATGTAGGATATAAGAATTGGGAGGATTTTAGAAACTATGCTTCAACAAAGTGGCCCCTTTTTCTTTCTTTACCAAGAACCCAATCTCTTTCTGGTCAGACTTGCATCTAGAGGCTCCTGACACTCTATTGCCCAGCCCCTTGATCTCTTACCTTTGATTCTTGGGAGTCCAACTGCCTTTCCTTCACGTAGGGATCAGAAGAAGGCCTGTGGTGAAGGGATTGAAGGTAGTGTGAGGATGGCCGGTGGTTCTGCGGCATGCAACAAAGAGGAAGCAAGGACAGCTTGGGTAAAAATAGGCTTGGGAAATAAAGGCACTGTCTGAAGCAATCTCGGGGCAGAGAGCCAGGAACTAGAATCTAAGAAGAGAACCATGGTGATGATTAGGCAATACAATGAAAGAAAGCTCAGGAAAGCCATCAAACAAAAACAGAATCAGTAGAAATTCCTTGAAGACCATGATTCTCACAGGGCTACCCATCAGAATCACCTGGTGACCTTGTAAAATGCTGATGCCAATAAAAGAACTGTGAAGGGTCTGAGGTTTTACTCTATTGGCAGCTTGACAAATTAAACTGCCGCTGTTTTATGGATGCCAGGAGAAGATAAGAGACTGGGTCAGGAGTCTTCATGTTTGTACCAATATCCCTTGCTTGCAAATACTAAGGGAGCAGAGCAGAGTAATCCAGGTGGAGAATGTGGAGGCACTGGGCTGTGTCCCTGCTGAGGAACCCGAGTTTAAGAAATCAATAAAAGTCAATCTTTATTATGGGTTACAACCAAATTGGCCCATTCTTTTCTCCTTTGCAAGAGACGTTATTGTTACGAAAGTGGACAGAAACGAATCTGTCATCTGCTTTAGAGGGAGACACTGTATCTTCTAAGGCTATTTACTCTATGAGGATCCTTGAAAAAATAGTCCAGAACATAAACTCTGCTTGCAAAATGTGTAGAAAGGCAATGACCCATGGGAAACTATACATATAGTGCCCAGGTTCTATTCCAATTAAATGAGAATTTCGATCGCATTTAATGAGAACCCCTACAGCACTGAAAAGGGATGTGCTTTTGCTGATGGATGTGGATGAGATTGTTCAAGACCAGAATCAGGTCAGGCTTCTCCCCAAATTTCTTTTCATAGGCTGAGGAGGACCATGATTTCCTGGGGTCACCTGGTAGAAGGCTTTGCTTCCTTTCAGGTAGGAGGTAGGTTATTGGGGCAATTCAGTGCCTTTTTCAGTTGACGATGCTTGGAGCCTCATGGTAATGTGGTCACTTATCCATTTAGCAGGTTTTAGCTACCTATCCTGAGACTGTAGAAAGTGTAGATACAGATGTTGGGGTAGGATCTCATTGGATTAATTAGGCCAATCATTGTTGATAACAGGGTTGACTCAGAGAAGGAAGTAACCAGAATGGCCAAATGGCCATTTGATTGATGACTTTGTCTTATGGGCTGAGTTGTGCCCCACTCCCTATTCATATGTTGAAGTTCTAACCACTAATGCCTAAGAATATGACTGCGTCTGGAGACAGAGCCTTAAAAGAAGAGACTAAGTTAAAATAAGGCCATAAGGATGGGTCCCACCAATCTGACTAGTATCCATGTAAGAGGAGACACCAGGGACACTGGTGCACAGAGTAAAGACTGTATGAGGATGCAGCAAGAGGCAGCCACCTGCAAACCAAGGACAGAGGGTTCAGAAGAACCCAACCCAATGCTACTGGAGCCTTATATGATTCCAAAAGTGGTACAGCTAATCTCAAGGGCAAAGAACTGACGGGTAGAAGGAAGTTCCCATTATTCCAAATTCCAAACTAAGCTCAAAACTCAGGGTATCTACTTAGATATAATCTTTTTTTTTCTTTTTTTTTAATTTTTATTTATTTATGATAGTCACAGAGAGAGAGAGAGAGAGGCAGAGACACAGGCAGAGGGAGAAGCAGGCTCCATGCACCGGGAGCCCGATGCGGGATTCGATCCCGGGTCTCCAGGATCGCGCCCTGGGCCAAAGGCAGGCGCCAAACCGCTGCGCCACCCAGGGATCCCTACTTAGATATAATCTGAGCAGGTTGTGAACACAGATTCAAGTGTTCAAGTGTCCCATCATGCCAGGAGGCAGGTGATTGGATGATTGTTACTAGTACTGTGCAACCAGTCATGGGAAGAATGAGGTTTAGGAGTTAAAACTCCAATCCCTGTGTCAGGAGCGCTGCGTGGAAACCTTGGGAAACAAGAAGTCACCAAGGAATAAGGCACAAATTAGTTACTAGGAAATGGAAATGCCACGGTCAGTGGAAGACTGTATAAGCAGGAGTTGGATGGAAGAGTCACATGGACAGGGTCCAGACAAATCATTATAGTGTGTGTATGTCTTATAATGTTACAATGCATGTAATTAGATAGACATTTTCTGGTTTTGGATATAACATTTTTTTAAAGGTTTTATTTATTTATTCAGGAGACGCAGAGAGAGAGCCAGAGACATAGGCAGAGGGAGAAGCAGGCTCCCCGCAGGAAGCCTGATGCGGGACTTGATCCCAAGACCCTGGGATCATGACCTGAGCCAAAGTCAGACACTCAACTGCTGAGCCACCCAGGCGTCCCAGGATATAACATTTTTTTAAGAACCCAGAAGTTAGTAGATCTGTGTAATATTCTTCATATACAGTAGAATCATGAGGGAAAAGGAGAAATAAATTATAATTTGGCTTTATCTTTTAGCATATAGGCAAATAGTACTGGAAAGCCTGCCAAGGGCAAACCCTGGATAAATGAAATATATAACAACCATAAATCCTAAAAATATATTTAACATAATATATGTAATATTGTATAAGATATATAAGAACTTGCTATCAAAGTTTGTTTTTGGCTCCCTTAAATTAAAAAAATTAAATTTTCATGTATACCATCTGTCGAAATATGAGTTTCTTTGTTTTTATTTACAAGTTGCCGTATTAGTACTAATTTGTTTTCTGAATTCTAATTCATCTCATGGTAGAAAACACCTGATTGCATACAACTTAGCAATTTGTGCAAATAATGCACAAATCATGTGATTTTTATACAACATATAATTAAGTGCATCTTTTGTTGAAACTTTTGGCTGCTATTGAATTATGTATATAAATTAAAAGATAACAGTGGTACAGTCACATTAATTGGTGACCATCACAGCAGCCTGTGGCATCATATCTATTCAACCAACAAGATCACTGGTTTAACCAGATCCCCTTCTGCAGGGCCCTCAGTCTTTATGAGACAAATCTCTTGAGGCAGTATGTGTAGTGGTTAAGGTCAGAGGAGGCACTGACCATATAAGCAGGAGTAGGATCGAAGAATCACATGGATAGGGTCTAGACAAACCATTATAGTGTGTGTATGTGTGTTTGTCTTATAAAATTATAACACATATAATAAGATAGATGATAGTCATTTTCTGGCTTTGGAGATCACATTTAAAAAAAGAAAACCCAGAAGTCACTAGGTCTGTGTAATATTCTTCATCTATGGTAGAATCATTGAAGTCTGGTTTCAAATTGCAGCTGCCCATCTTGCTAGCTGTAGCCTTTGAGCAAGTTACTTAACCTTTATGGCCCTCATATTCCCCATCTGTAAAGTGGAATTTTAAGAATCCTTCTTTATTGTAAAGATTAAGAGTTACCACATGTAACATGATTACAATAGCAGTTAGTACAAAAGAACTGCCCCATGAAAGTCAGCCATCTATCTGCATTGTGTACTCTCTCCCTTGTTTTCACAGGAGAGAGCCCACACTCCCTATCCCTCAAGAATCATGCCCTCTCCAAAGAAGCAAGATCCTTTCTTCCTTTAAGTTTCCTTCTTAATGTCACCTGGGGGTGAGAATGACTATAGCAGGGCTAGCTCTGGCATTTCCCAGCATGCCCCTGAGTGGCTGCTGAGCTCACATTGGCCTTTCTTTGAGTTTAGAATGTGGGGTACACTGTGTCTTTGGTTCTCAGCTTTGAGCTCAGCCACCATCCCAGGACAAGAGGGAAGTCCATTTGGCAGGCTGTCATGTCACTTTGTGAAGCTTAAACATTTAGCCTTCCAGCATGTCTTGCTTTCTGCATGATCAGAGAAAGTATTCACCTCGTCCAGTTTAGTGCAGTGTTTGTCAGAGGGCAGGAAATCTTGGCCTCAGTCTAGTATTATGTAAGTGCCCAAAAATCCCTTTTTGTTTTTTTGAACTCCTATGAACACAGAGCTTTGTAACCCTGCCTTTGCCTGCCTATTATTCTTCAGAGAGTTGAGTGGGTTGAAAGATTTTGAAAATCATAGTTTTAAATACCTAGTTAATGTTTCACAGCCTACGTTGCTTGACCTTCCTGCTATCACAATGCAAGTCACATTTCCCCAAGGGCAGGTTCCCTGTTTCTAACTTATTTCTTATGAGCAATTTTAATACTGGTGTTTTTTTTTTTTTTTGATGTTTTTTCACTTGATGGGTATTTTTTGTTTTTGTCCCCCCCCCCCCCTTTTTTTAAGTTGAAAGCTTTCCTCTGGATTTAAGTTGTGTTGGTTTTTTTCCTCTGGGAAGAAGGAAAAAAAATTTTTTTAAACACAAACAAACTTGCAGTTGGCATAAAATAGAAACAAATAGAAAATATTGGCTGCAAATGCTATTTTCACAAAGTTTTCCAGAGGAAAAAGTTATAGCTAATCATTTCCATATTTGCCTGGAAAATAGTTTGAATCTTTGGAGTCTTTACTATTCAGCTCTTTGGTAGGAGATTATATGTAAGCAAAGAGCTCCTTTCTTAACAAGGTTAAAATCTGCTTATTTTAATGAAAAGTGTTGTACAATTTACTTGACCACAAAATGTAAGCTTTTGAACAACACTGAACCAATTTTAGGTAATGCTTTTCTTCTTGTTTAATTGCCAAAAAAGGATTTTTTTTTTTTTTTTTTTTTTTTTAGAATCTAGCACACATAAAGAATGGGCTTCTGAAACTCAGAAATAAATATACAAATAAAGCCTAAATCATTACAAAGATGAACATCTCACCAAAGCAGTAGTATATGATTGGTCTCAAGCTGGTGAGGGCTTTTTTTTTTTTTAAGATTTTATTTATTCATTCATGAGAGACACAGAGGGAGCAGCAGAGACATAGGTAGAGGGAGAAGCAGGCTCCCTGGGGGGTGGGGTGGGGGGGCAGCCAGACTGGAACTCGATCCCAGGACCCTAGGATCAGGTCCTGAGCTGAAGGCAGACCCTCAACAACTGAGCCACCCAGGTGTCCCTTTTGAGGGCTTTTGGAAGTGACTAAGTTTATTTTCTTTTCTCTTTTAATTCATATTGCCTATTCACCAATTTAATGTGCAGTATATTTTATTTGTAACAAAATAGAGTTGTAGACAGTTTGGCATCAAAACAGTGAAAATGAAGGAAGAACTTTAAAATATGCTAACAGAATAGAATTATCCAATCAGGAACAGAAATTTTTTTTTTAATTTTTTTTCTTTATTTATGATAGTCAGAGAGAGAGAGAGAGAGAGGCAGAGGGAGAAGCAGGCTCCATGCACCGGGAGCCCGACGTGGGACTCGATCCCGGGTCTCCAGGATCGCGCCCTGGGCCAAAGGCAGGCGCCAAACCGCTGCGCCACCCAGGGATCCCCAGAAATTTTTTTTTAAAAAAAGAAGGAAATTAACAAAATGATAAGGGTAAAGAGTGAAAGTTAGCTATCGTGTTAAGCTATAGTATTTTTACTCAAAAGTCTGTAACCATCTGAGACCATCTCTTTATGTGGCCACAACTTCAACCAACCTGTAAACATAGCTTCCTAGGCATCGAAACAATGGTGAAGCCCATTCTCTCACCATATTCTCTAAATGTGTATGTATCTGCCTAGATGAGACCCAGGGGCAATTAATTTATCCTACCCTCAAGCAATTTAAGAAATTCATATTACTTTTTGATAACAAATTGGTACCTAATTCTTGCTTCAGTAGTCAAAGAACTATCATGGCAAAGAAGAATACAGGGATAAAAGGAAGAGTGGAGGGGATCCCTGGGTGGCGCAGCGGTTTAGTGCCTGCCTTTGGCCCAGGGCGCGATCCTGGAGACCCGGGATCGAATCCCACGTCGGGCTCCCGGTGCATGGAGCCTGCTTCTCCCTCTGCCTGTGTCTCTGCCTCTCTCTCTCACTGTGTGCCTATCATAAATAAATAAAACAAAAAAAAATTTAAAAAAAAAAAAAAAGGAAGAGTGGAAACTTGGTTTTTAGCAAAAACATCTAAGAATGCATGGACTGTTAGAAATTTCAGTGGGTTAGCCTGGGAGGTTGAGCCTGGGAGGTTATAAGACTCTAACAAGAAGATTACTATTTTGAATTCATCTCCAGATGTTCAGAATGATTTATATGCTTGAAGTCAAGATAACCCATATTAAATTGTTTGAGGTTTTATTTCTACTTCCATTTCAGCGTCATAGGAGTGATAAGTTCTGTTATCCTGTCAGATAAAGCTATAAGCTCCACTTAAATATACTGTAATTAACTGAATATATATAATTTTTTCATTATTTTCCACAAAAATCAGAAATAAGAAATCAAATTCCTATTTTATTTTTGTGATCATGTCAAGGAGTCAGATGATCATTAAATACTAGGAAAGGAAATGAGACTTGCCTAATATCTACTGGAAGACATCCAAGATGCAATTTTAAAAAGCTGATTATCTATACCATGTGTTTATCTGTCTCCATTAGTATTGAGGTAATCTTATCCAGAGGCTCCCATGGGGGTGGAAAAAGACACATAACAAATGTTACATTACTTTGTTTTGCAAACAGACTGTTCAGAGATTTTTAATGATGGGTATAAGCACAGTGGATTTTACAAAATCAAACCTCTCCAGAGCCCAGCAATATTCTCCGTTTACTGTGACATGTCTGATGGAGGAGGATGGACTGTAATTCAGAGACGATCTGATGGCAGTGAGAATTTTAACAGGTGTGCTAATTATGACGTAAGGATTTATTTGGAGTAGCATGTGTGAGATTAGAAACTAAGCCTTTTTATTATATCCTGAGGTCTATAATTAGAATTTCACTCTCTAAGTAAGAGTACTGAAAGTTCATTTAGTAATCAAGAAAATGTTGGGGGTTGTGAGCAGTAGTTGGGAGGGGTGGATACCTGGGTTACTCCAAAGGTCCTTTCGGGTTTTGCTAAAATCAGCTTTCACTTTAAATTTTTTTAGGGGCTGGGATGACTATGAAAATGGCTTTGGAAATTTTGTTCAGGAAAATGGTGAATATTGGCTGGGTAATAAAAATCTTCACTTACTGACCACACAAGGTAAGGTTTGCCTGTTACCAAATTCACTTGAAGTACGATTAAGAAACAACACTAAGATGTTTTTCACTAAACCATAGGCAACGGAACCAATTCAGTAACTGCTGTGTTTTGCAGATGGCCACGATCCCTTCTGGGCAATAATCCCCCTTATAAACTGTGGTCACTTAAAACTAGGACCAGAAGCAAAGAAAACTAGATCTGGACTGGAAATGGGAGATTTCTCATATATTTATTTTCTATTTCCAGAAAGGAAATATAATGTCATCATCCTTTTTAATGCTTCAAGTTCCTCAAATTATACTTGGGTCAGCTATCTACTGTCACAATAATAGTATGTAACAAACCACTTCAAGATTTATTGGCTTAAAGTCACAAACATTTATTATTGCTCACAAATGCACAAGTTGGCTGGGCGGTGTTGCTCATCAGGGCTGCGTGCTGCTGATCTTGGCTGGGCTTGCTCATGGGTCTGTGACTGATGTCCTGGCCTGCTGGAGGCTGGCTGTTGTAGTGGGTCTCAGATGGAATCACTGGGCTCTGCTCTTTACCGTCTCTCACCTTCCAGGTAGCTTGCCTGGACCTGTTCTTGTATTGCAGGCAGTGTTCCAAAAAAGAAAGAGTTCAAGTACCGAAGTTTCTTGAGACCTAGCCTTAGAACCGGCACATGATCATTTTTACTGCTTTCTTCTGGTAAAAGCAAGTCACAGGACCAGCACAATCTAATGGGAAACAAAACAAAACAAAACAAAAAAGGGAAACAGACTTGATGGAAGGAGTTACAAAGTGGCATTGCAAAGGTTGAGGCCAACACTTGGGTCATTGAGGCTGTTTTTGCAAAAAAATACCATAAGAAATCTTCTTGTCTCTATCCCCTTCACCTTTTATTTTGAAAAATTTCAAAGATACAGCAAAATTGACAAAAGATTCAACCTACCCCCTAGATTCTACACTAACATTTTAGTGTTTTTATTATTTTAATCACATATATAGCCATCCAGCAAGCTGTTTTATTTTATTGACACATTTCAAATTGAAGACATCTGTATGATTCCCCCTGTCTTATGTACTGCATGGGTATCTTCTGTTAGGGTTCATTATTTGTCTAAAATATCATTAGTTTGATGAATTTTCTAAGCTTCTCTTTCCCATGATCATTTACTCCAGCTCATTGCCTTCCTTGTCTCAAGTGTAAAGCCAAGATCATAGGCATCCCCACTGAGGTCTGATGCAGAATGTTTTATAAAAGGCAATTGTATTGCTCAAGAAAGTATGCTATATCATACTGGCAATGCATTAAACATAAAAGCAAGAGTTTGCTTGTTTCATCCAAGTTAAGGAAAGTTATTGGTATTTCTATATTCATAGTTCATAAGTAGGATTATAATTATAGGAATCTTTGAGACACCAGAATAATAGCTAGAGAGAATAGATAATTTTAGAAGCCTGATAACTTTCTTTGCTTGTCCTTCTTGTGATCAATGCTCTCTAAATTTATATAAGATATCCCTTCCTTCAATGTATTTATTTTCCTAGTTTTGAGTGCTTTATGATAGATATATAACACTTATCATACCTGCTTTTTTGGGACACATTAATAGTTATCTGGTTTCTTACTGAAACTATGAAAACTCTAAGAAGTAACACTTGGCTCTTCCTAAATACACAAAGTTCAAAATTATTTGTCAAATTATTTTTTTTTCAAATTATTGTTAAATGCTTATTCACCCAGATGTACTTTGCCAACACATCTGCTTCCCCTTTATGTTTTAATTGGTGTTCAGTCTCCTACTCTCATGACAGCAAAAATGTATTTATCAGTTCCAGGCTTCACAACCACATATCACATCATCCCAAGGAAAACCCATGCTTTGTCCCTGCATTCTTTAATTGTGAGAGCACTTAAGGCTAGTGAATTTCCTCTGAAAATAGCCTTATCCCCATTACATAAGTTTTGACTGGAAGTGTTTGCAATAAAATGAATTTAGGAATGGTCTGTAATTGCATTTTGATTTAGTTATTGACCATAAAGATATTTAGATGGTTACCTGAAACATTGAGACTGAGACTTCGTATCTCTCCTACAATGTAAAGTGTATTTTAGGAGAGTTAACTTAGCCTGCCTTACTGTTCTCATCCACTTCACAGTCTTGGTTCATATAAGCTTTCCTGCCTTTCAATAAGATTAGAGGGGTTTCTTCCAGAATTCCACATTAGAGAGCTCCAGGAGAGGAAGAGTCTGGGGGCTAGAGTGCCACCGCCAACAGAAGCCCACACTCCTCCCACACTCAGTAACAGCCAATCCAGCATTCCCTGCCCAAACAGCCCTGAGCTTGTTTCTAGGACCTGTTTATGCCTCTTTTCATCTATCCCCCTTGAGAAGATTGTGTTGCTGGTGGGCACATCCCTAAGCCTGAGGGGAGGTAAAGCAATAGCTTTTCATGTGGGTGTAAAGAGAGCTTGGATGTGCGGGCTGGAATGTCCACAAATGTGGACAAGGCCCTTTTTTGTGCATGATGGAGAATAGAGATAGGGAAAGGAAGAGAGGAAGCAGACCATACACGAGACCCGTGCGATGGAGTCCAGAGGGCCTCTCCCTCCAGGCTTGCAGGTTCTGACTTGGAATCCCAAGGAGACGAAGACACTAAATTCAAACCCAGCCTCATAGGTCATTGTGAAATATTATCTATCGAAGTAGGAGGATAGAACATATATTATCTAAGTTAGTTTAATTTATAACTCTCTGGCTTTTGACAATAGTTCTGTTTTCCAAAAAAAAGAATAATCTTTGTGATTCACAAATGATGGGACAATGGAGAAAAGATCACTTGATGATACCAACTAACTAGTTCAATTATTATTTACTTTTAAGATCAACGTTCTTAAAGAAAAAGCAGACAAATCTTTAAACTTCTTAAAACTTCTATTGTTTCACTTTTAGATTTTTTTTTTGAGAGAGAGCAAGATTGAGAGAGCGTGTGTGTGTGTGTGTGTGTGTGTGTGTGTGAGCAGGGGGAGGAGCCGAGGGAGAATCCTAAGCAGGCTCCATACCCAGTGTGGAGACTGATGTGGGACTCGATCTCATGATCCTAAGATCATGACCTGAGCTGAAATCAAGAGTCCAATGCTTAACCCCCTAAGCCACCGAGGCACCTCTCATTGTCAGATTTCTTTTTTTTTTTTCATTGTCAGATTTCTTAATCTGGTAACTAAATAATGACTTATTTTCTATTGTTCTTTGTCAAATGAATTGCACTAGCTTTTACCAGTAATAGATCTATAAAAAATTTCTATCTTTAATATTTTGTCCCTAGCTATTTTCAAGTAAAACACACAATAAAATGTTCATTCTGTAAATACAACGGAGTCACTGTTTATTCTTTGAAAACTGACTCATGGCAGAAGGAAATGGTTCAAGTAAAATAGAGCCTTGAATTGTTTTTAACCTCAATTAATCAATGTCATCTCACACATCAGAAATACTCAATAACTTCTTGCTTTCTTTTTTTTTTTAGGAGACTACACTTTAAAAATTGACCTTGCAGATTTTGAAAAAAACAGCCGCTATGCACAATATAAACTTTTCAAAGTTGGAGATGAAAAGGTACTCAAATTTTCAAATAAGTAGCATCAGGAATTAATTGTGTAAAATATAAACCCTGAAGTCAGAGGAAACAAAATATACAGTAAAACCTGTTCTTTTGTTTATTAAATAAGCAATTATTAACATTAACTTAATTATTAACAGTAAATAAAACATTATAGTGACAACTAATAGTGGAAGTTGCCTCTTTTCCTTTAGAATTCCTATGAGTTGAACATTGGGGAATATTCTGGAACAGCTGGAGACTCCCTTGCTGGGAATCTTCATCCTGAGGTGCAATGGTGGGGTAGTCACCAGAGAATGAAATTCAGCACATGGGACAGAGATCATGACAACTACGAAGGGAACTGTGCAGAAGAAGATCAGTCTGGCTGGTGGTTTAACAGGTTTGCATTTTATAAACATAGTTGCGATGGCGTTGATGATATCTTACTGGTCGGCATTAATTATAATATGGGAGGTAATGCTGTCTTCTTTGTAGTACTGGTATTATTAAGTAATCATCCTTATTAGAATTCTTCAGTGATGATGTATTTTTGAGGATTTGCTCATTGTGTGCATTAATAAAGCTTGAAAGGTATTATAGAAATAAATCAAATTACTGCTTATACAAAGATTGCTTGCAAACTGAATTATGGGCAAGTTATCATAAACAGTTGACCACATGGACATGAAGATATAGAGAGCATTTATATATGAGAAATATTTTCAGCGCTCTAATAACCAGTTTGGTCTTTCGCCTTCTTCTATCACATGAAATGGCTATATTATTTTTGCAATTTTTTCTATGTGAAACTATTTTTCAATCACTGTGACTTCCATTAAATCATGGAATCCGGGACACCTGAGTGGTTCAGTGGTTGAGGATCTGCCTTTGGCTCAGGTCAGGATTCTGGGGTCTGGGGATTAAGTCCCACATCAGGCTCCCTGTAGGGAGCCTGATTCTCCCTCTGCCTATGTCTCTGTCTCTGCCTCTCTGTCTCTCATGAATAAATAAAATCTTAAAAAAAATTTTTAGTAATTGAATCCAAGGTCCTCCCAATACAGAAATTTCCTCTAAAATGTTCTTGACACCTAATTCCACCCTCTGGCTGAATACTTCAAAGTTACTTTATCAACTAGCTCATTCTGTTTCTTAATGTACTCAGTTTTCCTTTTATTAGCTTGAAATCTGCCTTCTTATATCCTGCCAGATTTTTTTTTTCTCAGTAGTTATAGAGAGTTGTAATTCCCTTTCAACATAACCCTGCAGGCAATGGATGAGAAGATATTTACTGTATTCCTCAATATTTTCTCTTCTCTTGGCCAGATATCCTTGACTCATTTCACTGTTCTCCACCCAAGATGGTTTCCAGATAGCTCCCTTTGTTGTAATTACAAAGTTTAGGCGAGAATGGAAACTTCATACAGTCTTCCTTAAAAATAACCTGAGGGGTCTGCTCTGTCTGCAAAGCAGATGTGCTCCATTAGGCAGTGCATGAGTTTTGAATCTTTTCTCTTTAGAAAACAAGGACCACCTCAAAATGTCTGATGTTAGATATTCCATTATAGAATCTTTAGTGAGTGAGTGTTTCTGGAGTGTCAGGTTTTTCTATTTTTGAAGACTATCCATTAAGTTCCACAATCCAAATTTTAACCTTATTTTTGTGATGTAAGTCTTTTAAGAGCATTCTGCAGTCCTCTATCTTATTAAGTGGAGGTATATCAGGCATATGTCAATTTTCCCTAAAATCCTGAGAGTCCTTCCTAGGAACATCAGTTATTGTGACGTAGATTTTAGAGTCGTAGATTCTACGGAGAGACAGCTAACTGTAGGTAGTGTGCTGTATGTGTCATGTTGAAACTAAGTGGTTGTAAAAACAGTATTTCTCTGGATTTTGCTTTTTTAAAAGTTTGAGTGCATTTAGTTTTTGGTCACTTGTAAAGTGGAACTGGAACAAATACAGCAGTGAGAGAGGACAGAGAAATAAAGGGATCTTTCCTTCTTACCAAACCAAAGGTGATGATAGTCTTTTCCCTGGTGGTTTTCTTGTGCTTTTAAAATGCCATCTTTGTTACCATCTCTTCCTTCTCCTTATTCCTCCCCTGTCCTTTTAAGTTAGCATTGTGTAAAAATTATCAGCATTATGTAGAACTTACCTATAATTCACTAAGTTGTGAGATCCCTTAATGTTTGATTTTGAACAGAAGACCACATACAGAAATAACAATTTTATCTGTTAACAGTACCATGAACCAACCTCGTTGACTGGCTGCTATTGTGTCTAGAGGACAATTGGCACACATATCAACATGGGCAAATAAATGATTTACTTGACTTTAGATATAGGAGTTCAGACATGATAAAGAAAGGCAATTCAGTAGCTGAGGCTGCTGAACTTTTCATTATCCCTGAAGTCAAAGAAGATAAGTCTGTACAAATGGAAAACCAGTAAAGCTGGAGAAAAAGTCAATTGTTCCAGAAACTTGGTGCTACTTCTGCTGTGCATTCTATTCCTCTTACTTAATCTTATCATTTTCTTCCCTCTTACCCTCTTAAAAAAAAAAAAAGCTTTTTTTTATAGTTCTTCTTTGTTTTTAAATTTTATTTATTTATTTATTCATGAGACACACACAGAGAGAGGCAGAGACATAGGCAAGGGAGAAGTAGGCTCCCTGTGGTAAACCTGATGTAGGACTCATCCCAGGACCCTGAGATCATGGCCTGAGCCAAAGGCAGATGCTCGACCACTGAGCCACCCAGGTGTCCCAATCCTATAGTACTTCTAAGTTACATGAAATGTTGGCACTTCATAATTATCGCTCACCTGCAAGATGTTCTTTCTCCACATAGTAAACCACTCACAGAGTATTTATTAATGACTTCTCTGCTTTGCTCACGCAGAGCTCATGTTTTGCTTTTCACCAGTGCAGCCCCAGCCATTTCCCCATCTAGTCGCAAGTTCAGGCTTTTTCAGAAACTGAAAGGTGCTATAAAATTGGTCTCAGAATAGCTAAAAATTTTTATGTTGACCATGCTGTCAGTTTTCCTAATGGGATTCAAATCACAGACCAAATAAAAATTGTTTATGTCTCTAGGAATACAGAGATAGGCCAAAATATATATTCTGGAGGCTTAGAGTATTTTTTTCTCTAACATTACTTTCCATGTAGTTTTAAAAACACAGTAGGCTTTTGATTCTTGCAGATTTAGCATACGTGGTTTCTGTTACATCCAGTTAAATTAGGAGACTGTCCAGATGGTCAGCAGGAGCAAATCACTAATCTGGTTAAGTGATCCAAGCCAAAAACTCAGCATCTATGGATAAATTATATGCTCTTTTGATTCAGTAATTTGGGTACTTTCCATAGATTTTTCAAGACTATCCCTTGTGAATGTTCTCCTTATATCCTATTGTCCTCCATTCTTTTTGTTGGTTAACCAATAAAGAAATATGTCGTAACTCATTCCCAACAGTACACAGAAAATTATCACATACTCTTAGTTATCCCTATCAGGGACAAAATTTATAGATTTTAAAGGAGGAAGTGGGACATTTTGAAATTTGTGATAAGCTAACTAACTTATCTAGATTGGAACAATATATGTTAAAAAATTAGCTCTGCAACTCGGACAAATGATTATTGGTTGATTGCTGGGAAAACTTTAAATGGTAGTTTAGGCTTTGTTTTCCTACCCTTGAGGTTAAAATAATGGAGATGTTGGCGATTTTTAAAAGGGGAGGAAGGGAGTTTGCGGCGTGAAAGCTAAGTCTTGGCAGCAGATGGATGAACACGTAAGAGCTAATTATCCAGGGAAGCTGGCAACAGAGTACCATGCCACACCTTGTTTTGTTAACCCATACCACTCTTGCAAAGGCCAAAGGTTACAAGGTCATGTTTTTGTTTTCTCGTTTTTGTTTTGTTTTGTTTAAAAGCTATTAAGAACAGAAATGCTTCTTTTATAGTACCTACAGGTGACCTGGGTTGTATCCTAGGATTGGTTTTGGCACTAAAATCCATCACTTAAAAAACCCATCTGCTGATGAAATATCCTGGCTTTGGAAATTAATAAATATGACATTGTATAAAAAATACATAATTCATAGTTTTATTTTATTTTATTTTATTTCATTTTATTTTTATCATTTGCTAGCAAATAAAAGGGCTTGGAAAGTTTATTTTTTCTAGTCCGACTGTTCTGTGTTTCTTTTTCTTCCCACTAGGTGTCACTCTGCAAACCTGAATGGCTTCTACTACCCTGGCCCGTATACGGCTAAAACAGACAATGGGGTTGTCTGGCATACCTGGCATGGATGGTGGTATTCTTTGAAATCTGTGGTTATGAAAATTAGGCCAAATGATTTTATTCCAAATACTGTTTAATTTTCTCTGCTGGGCTTTCTTTCTGTAATTCATCTAGGTTTAAAGGGATTTGAAAAACAGCAGTTCTAAACACACACATGCATGTATGATGATGGCAATTGTTATGTGTACTACTTTTCATTCCTACTTACCTTTATTACTTAATGCACTTTCAGTACAGCAAATATGTGTACTCTTCAAATAAATATAGATTAATGAATTCCTATGTGCAGAAGGTTATGATAAGCACTTATGTTGAACAAAAAATAAAAAGCACAGAATATATAACATGTCTTGGGTAAATATATAATAAATTAAGTATGAATGCAGTTGAAAAAAACATATGAAAAAAATCCAGTAAATAACGAATTGCCAAATCCACTGCATGGACAATAAATATGAGTTCGGATTTGAACTCAGGTCTCTAACTACAAAACTGGAACTCATAAACACGATATAGTGTCTTAATCACTACAAAACATATTTTGGGGATGTTTGTGTAGGTTAGACACTTCTTTCAGATGCTTCATTTTCATTCTTACACTAATCCTGTGGGACATTGTTATCCTCCTGTAACAGAGCTAAACATTTGACGATCTGAGATTTTGTGACTGCTCTCAGTTACAAAGCTAATGATTCAAGGAACAAGGACTCAAATCCCAATTCATTCAAGTTCCGATCCAAAATTCAGTGTTTAGCTATCATGCTACAGCTTCTTGTGGATAGAACTTGGATGAGGTGTAGTAAAAGAGTAAGAGTAAAAGGGTAAAAGTAAAAGGGTAAAGGCAAGATATTCTTTAAAATATTTGAGTGCCAACTGTCAGGCACAAAGGACATAGTTCAAGCCCGAATGAAGCTCATTCTTTTTAATTAAGACATGCACTATAATCAGAAATATAGAAATAATTTTAAAAGCTGATTAGTATGAAGGAGAAAATATGCTCCTGGGGAATGTACAGCAGGGGACCTGACCTGGCTTGGTAGGAGGGGATCCAAAAAGCTTCCTGGAAGAACTAACATTTTGTGCTGAGATTTTTAAACTTGGTGTATGTGGTAGATCAGTGCAGGTTGAGGGAAACCTCCTGTAAAGAACACAAAGTAGGAAAGTGCACGAAAACAAAACAGATCAGAGAGGCAATAGAGTTTCGTGATCCTTAAATCCTTAAACCAAGGATTCTGCTACTTGATAGCTGTGTGACCTTCGGTAAGCTACTTAACTTCTCTGAGCCTCAGCTATCTCATCTGTAAGATGAAGATTAGGATAGTACCTGCCTCACAGGGTTAGGTTGAGGATTACACAAGTATTTCAAATAATGCCTTGCATATTATAAGCAGTGAACAAGTACTATGTGATTATTAGTGTAGTAGGCATTCAGGGAAATAATAACAGATGACTTGAATAATAGGTCACATAAAAATCCTAAGGTTAGTTGTACTTTATCCTATCTCCAACCAGTCCTCCAGAAGCAGTGCTTCTCAACTTTTAATGTCACACAAATTACCTGGGGTCTGATTAAAATGTAGATTTTGATTTGGGGCTGGGGCCTAAGATTCTAGTTTTTTAAACAAGTTTGCGGATGGCGCAGATGTTGCTGGTCTAGGGATCACAAGTTGAAAGCAACAGTGTAGGAAACTGAGTTCTATGGGAGAGTCATAATACAGGAAGAAAAGGGCTCCTTGTTCAAATGACTTTAGGAGATGATCTATTGAACAAAATTAAACAGATTTCTTCTTTTTAATATTCTACTTTGCATTCTGAATTCCTAAGAGGGACATATACTATGTTGCATTTTTATATCTATTTAGGAGTGTGGTCAGCTGCAAGGTATAAGTCACCTGATTCTGGCAGTCCAAACAAACAAGGATTTGTTCATCTTAACAAGAACTCAGAAGGTGGAACATTCAGTGCTTTGCAATGTGGAAGTGGGTATCTCTGCAATTCACTTTGCTTTTCCCTCAAAATCACAGGTTGTCCACCGCAGTTCCTGCTTTGAGTCTGAGTCAAAAACAGGAAGAAGGGTGAAGGGTCAACAGACTTCAATTTATGCCCTATTGGCCAGACTTGTGTTACGTGGCCACCCCTTCTGGAAGTAAGATCATGAAAGAGCAGATCTAATTTTTCAGTTTTTAGAACACACAGGCAAGAGAAGTGTCTGCTGTGACTCCTCAATGTTTGTCTTTTAATGCGGTCTTGTGAGAACATGATTTCATATGTCACACTTTGGGAAGGCATAAATAATGGGGCACGAGTGATAATTTTAAATATGGGTATTATTTGCCCAAGTAGTAGCCTAAAGAATTCACACAATTAGAAGATCAAAAGAAAAGCTTCTGAAGGAGAAAAGAAATGACTCCACAGAAAAGTGGGAGGGAGCTAAACAAGCATAGTGTTACATAAATCTCAGAATAATAGTTTTTCAATGCAGAAGGAATGATAAAAAAATTAATGCCATAAGAAGATGAAAGAGAAAGCATTCTAACAAAAGACCACTGGATTTAGTGATAATTTTTTTGTGCCTTTAATTTCAGTGGACTAGCGGGAAAATAGCCAGAAGCCAGAAAATAAAAGCAGTTAGAAAAAAGTAGATCATTTGAGGAGTTTATACATAAAAGTGGGAGATTGGACGGGTTTACCCAAAGTCAAGATATGAGGAAAACCCCAGTCCAATGTCCTCTGAAATTTCACCACTAAGGAGTCATTTATTAGGCTTTATCACTTTATTTTTAAAATGCAAATATGCTTTTAATTTATATCAGCTGATTACATGTTAGGGCCAATAAACTCATGAGTGCTGTGTGTGTCTGTTTTAAATAGAGCAAAGTATAGAGAAAATGCAAGGACGCTGGTTGGCTGACATGGGCAGAAGGAGTTTCTACTAAGAAACAAAAGGTATTTTTAAGAAAAGAGAGGGGCTATGTTCCTGAAACCTGAAAGTACTTCACAAATCTGCCCAATACCTAGAGTTTCAGAAAGACTGTGAGTCATAAAATCACAACCCATCCATAAAGCCCATAATCTCTCCTTTGGCCAGCACAAATTTCGTTGGGGAGAAAGACAAGTCAATCTATAGGATTGACATGAAGCGATAAACAAGATGGTTAAGCGTTTAGCTGTTGTCCAAGAAGATTACAGTCAGACTGTTAAGAACTTAAATTTTACCTTTGCCATTTTTTAGGTGACAAATTACATCTCTGTGCTAAAATGTGAATAATAATACAGCTGTCTTACAGTCATGTTGCGAGGATTAAATGAGCTAATACTGTGCTTGACACATACAGAAGTCCCACCTTCTCCACAGTTTCCATGGCTTCAGTTATCAGCAGTCAACCACCAATGGGAACCAGATGATCCTCCTCCTGAAGTATTGTCAGGTCAATAGCTGCCTAACAGACATCACAACACCTAATCTTATCATGTAGGCATTTTATCATCTCGCAGCATCTCAGGAAGAAGGCTGAGTACAGGGCAACAAGCTATTTTGAGAGAGAGAGACCACATTCACATAACTTATATAAAAGTATATTGTTATAATGTTCTATGTTATTAATAATGGTCAAGCTCCTACTGTGCCTAATTTACAAATTAACCTTTGTCATAGGAATGTACTTATAGGAAAAAACTTTGTGCTCCTAGGGCTGGGTATGATCCACAGCTTCAAGCATCTGTTGGGGGTCTTGGAACATACATATACCCCATGGATAAGGGAGGATGACTGTACTGCGTTCTCTGTAAATGCCTACTGTGATGATGATAATGGTAATGCTAACGAAGAAGAGGAAGGTAGAAAGGAATATGGTAATGGCGAATTCTGTGTTCTGTGAACTTCTCCAAGGGTTGAAGGTGTGAGAAGAGAGGAGATGGTCAGACATTCTCCTGATAAGATAGTATATAAAATGAATTACGACTCTGGGTACACTGTATCTTTTTTACAAGCTCAGCAGTTCAGTTTCTTACTATTACTGGGATTTAAAATTCTCAACAGCAACAACAAACAAAAAATTAGACACCTGGCTTTATCACTTCTTGGCTCAGTCGGTTAAGCAAGCACCTGACTCTTGATTTCAGCTCAGGTCATGATCTCAGGGTTGTGAGATAAGGCTCTCAGCAGGGAATCTGCTTGAGATTTTCTCTCTCAACTTCTGGCCCTCCCCCCCCCCCCCCGCCCCCGCTCTCTTTCTCTCTTTCTCTCTCAAATAAATAAGTAAATCTTTAAAATCCTGACAACTGTTGTAGAGATTGTCCAGTCCCGTGGTCTCTAACATGAGAGCCTTAGATTTTGATAATGTACCTCAAGCTTCTTGCAGGGAACAGGAAGGTATTCCCCTTTCTCCTTTCATTTGCTGTGGCTTAATTTTTATCTATTTTATATGTTTGGGTTCCAGGTAACACTTTGTGATTTTATTTTGTTTGAAAAAGAGAAAAAGAAAGAAAGCTTTCATCTCTAAAAAAAAAAATAATAAGTTTCTCCCTTCATTTTATAGATCAAGAAATTTTCTGCATTTTTCAGATGACAGGTATTTCTGGGAAGGACTCTTACTCCTGACTCAGATGAATTAACAAGCGTTGTAAACCCAAGTCTGTACTCTGTGTTCTCACGAATGTTGGCACTTCATTTAGAATACTGCCTTAAAAAGCATATACACCCAGTAAAAACTGTGCTCTATGGTGGGCAAGCCCAAGACAAGCTGCAACCTTTCTAAGAGGATAAAAGGGGGAATTAAGCATTCAGTCATAACAAGCCAACCTCATCTCACAGAGAAAATGACATAGGGTATTGTCTCCTTAACTCCTGGGGTGTTGGCACCGGTTGCAGTTTCAAGGCCTTTCTAATTATAGATGTGCTGTGTAACATTGCCTCCACCTGTACCTATAACACTAACAATGTTCAGCACTTAGCATTATCAAAGACTTTTCCAGCTTGAACTAATTAATTCATACAATTCCAACCATCTGGGACAGATAGTATTATTACCCAGGTTTTACGGACACAGAAAATTTCAAAAGAGGTTTCTCCAAGGTCACATAGCAATTGGAATGGGGCCAGGAGTATATTTTAGAAGTACTAGATTTTTCCATTCATTAGAAGGTGACAACATTACAGTTTAGATTTAGGGGTAATTTGATTTTTTTTTCTTCAGGGTGCTAAACAGATACTGCTTTGTTCAATACCAGCTCACTCTTTGGTTTCTTTTGTAGCTTGTCTCCCAAATGGAATGATTATATCCTTAGGAATTATCAAGTATGTCAAAATTCTTCGGAATACCGGGTAGCTTGGAAGCAATTAAAGGTAGCTAACA